GCTCCAGCCTCTGATCGTCTTAGTGGCCCTCTGGACTTGTTCCAAGAGCTCTGCATCTTTCTTGTACTGGGGGCTTCAAGCCCCCAGGCCTTTTTTTTTTTTTTTTTAATAAAAAGTCCTTTTTATAATAAGTACATGCAATGGGATTTCAAACACATAAACTAAGCACTCACTTATATTCTTTAAGTGTGTGAAGAACATACGCAAAAAGACGGCTGTCCTGATTCGTCTGGCAAAAACATTGCATTTTAAAACTGAAATCTATGGAACTGCAAGGTACTGTGAGTACTTTTATGGAAATAAATCTGAGATAGATGCAAGTAGCCTCTCTTCAGGCTTTCCCAGTTGTGTATGAATAATCCCTCGTGATGGCTGGAGTAGTCTCGTTAAGCCTTTCTTCCTCAATTGTGCCATGCATCTGACAATCAGAACAGTGAAGGCTTTCATCCCAGAAATCTTGCATGTTATTTGGTTTGGAGACAGGCTGCACAGGAATTAGTTTCTGTCTTTCTTGATGGTGGCATGCGTCTGAGTGTACATGCAATGAAGTGTTTTAAGAATAGGATTTACTATGACTTCCATGGACCTTGGGGAGGAAGGAAGGTAAACAGGGAGTTGAAATAATAAGTAAAATTGTAAAATTTTTAAAATAAAATTGGATTCCAGTGGCAGGCAGCAGAGCCCCATCCAGGCAAGTTTAACTGGCAGTCTTCCAGAAGAGAGATGCAAGATCCTCTGAGCAGTAATTGTCTAAATAGAACAGTCTCTGGTTATTGTGCAACTTTTTTGTGTACTTTATTGTACCTTTATAATTCAATGATGTAATTTCTTTTTATCCTTTCTTGTTTCCCTCTCAACTAGAACAGGAAAGCATCCAAGCAACGCTGCAATCCAAGTAATGGTGCGGACAGACCCTGTGGCTTGCAGGTTTATTTTCTGGGTCACTACAAGTTGTGCACAAGGCATTGCGAGCTGGTGATTGCCAAGGCAGGAAACAACCTCTTCCTTGTCCCTGCTGTGAATGGATGCTTACCTGCACTTCAAATCTCTCCATGCATAGTGCTGGAGGCATTTGGTTCCCTAGAATTTTTTGGTGGGGTGAAGGAACGCTGCTTTTGCTAGAAAATCAGTGGCAGAAAGGCAGCCAGCATCTGCAACAGGGTATGGAAAACACTATATTTAAAAGGACACTGAGCAGCAGGGCTATTTCATTCACTGAGGAGAACATGCAGACATCTGAGTATTAGAAGCTTAGAGCATTGCACTGAACAAAACCAGGACCGGCATTCCTTGGCTTGGGGCTTCAGCTATCAAGAATAAAACTCTGGTCCCAAGATGTTAAAAGAGTCCATCAAAGATCAAGGCAGAACCGTAGGATCAGCCCCATAAGCAATTCCTCTTTGGCTGGCCCTCCTCTACATGAGCGCTTCCCCTGAGTCTAAACAGCCTCTTCACAGGAACGAACATTATTCAAGTGAGTAAAAGTTAGCAAGACCGAGCCTTGGTTTGCATGTTTGGCTCCAGTACTTTCCTTATTGATTATATCTTACACATCTTCTGTACATTTTGTTTTGTTTTCAGTTATAACAAAGAGATCAAATCAGTCGTCTAGTTTTGATGCAGTGCTGGAATGTCCTCCAGGCCCTTGGGTTCTTACGTCTGTCTAGCTCTCCCCAAGTATGCTCACATGTAAAAATCTGTTTTAATTCATTGCCTATTTGTCTAACTGTATTACTAACGTAAATGTTTTAATTACAAGAAATTTAATAAATACAGAATAGAATTCCAGTAGTGACCCAGAATCTTCAGAAACAGAACTGTTTTGTAAAACCACTGGCATCAGAATTCTGCCAAATACCACAGGGCCTGATCCTGCCACGAGCCATTGCCTACAGCTTGTATTAATTTCAGCAGAGTTCACAAGCAGAATAACTGCAGGGTATTTGCAAAGCTAGTTAGGCTCTTAATGACTATTTTTTATTATCCTTTGATAGACAAATCTACCATTCTCAAAACTGGAAGTTTTGCCTAGGGAAAAGTGTGTCTCTGAGTAAATGGATCACTTAGTTCTGTCCAGTGTAAAAAGATAAAAAAAGAAAAAGAAAGAAAAAAAAAGGAACTTAATAGCATTCACATTCAATTACACATAGTATTAAATGCAATCTTTGGGGCCAGAAACCACATTAGTTTATCCAGTTTTCTAAGAGGTGTGCCATATTAAATTAGCAGCTGGCAAAGGATGGAAGGTAAAAGGCCCACGTATCAATGACCATTTGCCCTGGAGCTGTGGTTTTACAGAGAGGTATTTCCTCAGTGCAAGCAGATGCACTCCAGTCAGGGTATCTGATGACTACAGGTACAGCACATTTGCAGTTCTTCACATTCACATCAGGCATGCTTTGCCCAAACACCACCCCTGCAATCTCCAACTCCAGATGAGCGTCTGGCATGGAAGGCAAGCGAGACAAGCAGCGTGGTGCTGCCGAGATGAACCGCAACACCTGCCTCCTCTGCAGCACAGAGCTGTTTTCAACATCTGACAGCAGCGGCAGATGTACTTATTTCACTGTCACCATACAGCTGCGGATCGTAAAGGAATGTCTGATATCTTAGGAGGAAAAAAGGACACCAGTTGCTCTCCCTCATAAAGACAGCTCCATATCAAATTTCTAGTTCAGAGATTTCAGCATGTAGGCATTCTTAATAGGTAGCTATTTTACATTACTTTTTGGTAAAGGAAGAGTAAAATCCATTTATTGTTTTTGATCCAGCTGCTAACTTACAGCAGATAAGTGATCTTACAATATCCTTGGTTTTATATGTGAGCGAGTCAGCAGCTGTCAATTACCAAGCAGACATTGTATTTGCTCTCCTGTGTCTTAACCCAAAGATGCCAAAGCAACACAAAGCATTAATGTAAACATGTGACTCTTCAGCATAACTGAGACTTACAATATAGGTGAACTCTTCCTCCGAAAAGACCGCCATTGGTATTCAGCATTATCAGTGTCCCTCCTTTCAAGTTTCTTTTAACACACTACAAACTTGTTTGTAAAGCATCCACAGAAAGCCATCAGAGAAGGCAAGGAATTAAGACACCAACATCTGCGCTCTCCTGACTCTGGGGCACCAACCCTGAGCGTTGGTTCTGTGTCCACCAGCATACAACCAGAGACAGGAGCACAGCGGCATGCACCATTCCAAGCCCAGGAAGCACTATGCATTTAGGGTGGCTCACCACATACACACAGCCTTGACAGCATCTTCCAAAGACTATCCTCTCCCATGTTTAACCACCTCAGAGTAAGGTGCCTCATTTTGTCTATCACTAACACTTCCCAGAGCTGCTCTTACACACAACCCATTGCCAAGCAATCTCATCAGCTTCCGGATATTCTTGAGTCTGGGACGAGATGGGTGGTGAATGAGAAATGGCTAATTTATTTCAACACAAAAAATCTCTCTAGTAATTGAAACCTTATTTGGCAAAGGAGTTCTCCGTTGCAATGTTTGCCCGCTGGCAAGGTTGAAGTTCTCCAGTTGTGCCACGAGCACAGAAGGTGCACATGGCAGAGTGATCCACAGCAAGCCCACCCCCTCAGCTAGACAGAGAGCGGAAATCCCTCGGCGTTGGCACGAGCACAGAGGTGTCAGGATGCATTGCCAACAGGATTGAAGCCACCAATGCATCCCATGAAGGTCATTAAGTAGAACTGGACATTAAGGGTCACCAGTAACACAGAGAGGGGTGAAAGGTTCTCCACTACATCACCCGTCTGCGCTGCTTCAGTGCATGTCTATACTGTGCTACACAGCTGTATGACTCCCTTTAACACATACGGAACTAAATGCGTACATTGGCAAGTGCATGTGAAAGCATATCCCTCAAGAATAATCAGCCTTAAGCAACAATTCTGTGTGCATGGTCTGAAAAGGGAGTCAACACAGGCTATCAAGGGAGCTTGGGACAGAGAATACAATGTAAGAAGCAGCAATTTCACCACAGTGGAAATAAATCTCTAGAGAACCATCTGAATGCCACAGAAGAACCATGGGAGGGAAATGTTATTTTGCTGTTTGGAGCAACCACGCTGTGGGCAGCAAAGATGCTGTCATCCTCTGCTGAATCCCAGTCATCTCACAAAAACATAAATCTTTTGTGGATGGGATGTATAGACAGGGGTTTGTGCGTATCTCCTCTTGCAATACTTCAGATCAAAGAGACATTTGAGGCAAACTGACCATCATCTTGAGCCACTACGTTTGGGGAAAGCAGAAGGAGGAGGACCAGAAGACTAGAAAAAGAACAGCACAAAAATGCTACAGGCAGACAGATGCATCTCCACTCTGAAAGAAAATGATTCCTAACACTCCTAATAAATCAATCCAACGTTTTGTAACCATTGAAAATATTCCTAAACGTAGCTTAGTGTAAACAGCAAGCCGGGTTTCCTCCTGCTTGTTAGCATTTCTCTTTGTTTACGCTCCATTTGAGGATAGAAGCCTACATGTGAGCACTACTAATGGTGTCATTCAGGACTGATGGGGTATTTGGGAAGGGAATGACGAAATACAGACATATGTAGCATCTCGTAAAATACTATATACTCTGTCTGAGTCAGCAGGCTCAAACTAAAAATACAATAAAAAATACTGAGGCTCTGCTTTATTCATACATTTTACTTCAGTGTGGAGAATATTCCGATACCATGGTGATGGGCTTACAGAGACAGAGACGTGAAAGAGATGTTCTGAGGTGTGTCTGCTCTCACCCCACTGCTGCCTTGCTCCCAAACCCCACATCTCCATGGAGGAGACCCCCCAGGAAACTGCCCTGGCGATGCCCTGGGAAGCAGCACCCAGCCGAGGCGCTTTACCCATCACAAGGAGAGGGTTTGGCTAGGGATGCTCACCTCCACCTGGGAGCCCAACCGGCTCTGCTCAGCTCCTGCTCAGCTCGGGAGGGCCCAGCACATGCATTTGGTAAAAACAGCCCTTACCTTTGGCAATCAGCTCCTCCAGCTCTTGGTCGAATCCTTGTCGGTGGCATTTCCTCCAGAGCCCCATGTTGGTTGAGTTGTACTGTCTGTTGCACTCGTCGACCGCACTCATGGCAAAGATCTGCCTCCTGTTCCTTGCCAAGAGGAGTTTCCCTTCCCAGCGGTCCAACCTCGACCTGCTGGCCCTGAGAGGCAGGTTGTTGTTGGAGTTGTAAATAAAGCCAGGATCATTTCTCTTAGTGGTGATGCTTTTGCACCTCTCCCTGTGCTTTCGGGCATCAGTTTCATACCAGTGGTCAGAGCAGATCGCCACAGCCAGCATGCCCAGGGCACACAAAGCTAAAGAGAGGCCAGCATACAGCAGCAACCTTCCAGCAGCCATACCTCAGCTTCACGGGAACACCATGGACATCTTCACCACAGGCAAAGCCCTTGAGCGCGAGGCCACGCCGAAGCCCCGGAGCAGCCGCCGGCCGTCACTGGGCAGAGGCAACCTGGAGCATCCCCTCTCGCGCGGCTCACATCCACGCTGCGGACGGACGCCCGGAGCGCTCCCAAGTCGTGCCCCGGGGGCTCGTCGGCCTCCCCTCCCCTGCGGAGGAGACGCGGCGAGGAGAAGCGCAGCCTTCCTCCCTCCCGCCCGCGCAGACGTCCCGCCGCCCTCGCCACGGAGGAGCGAACCCGGGGGGACTCGGCGGCTGCGGCCGTTCCGTTAATGTCTATGGGTCCGGCCGGCCGGGAGGCGCGGGAGCGATGGCTTTCGGCTCTGTGAATCCAGCCCGGCCCCGCAGGACAGAAAGTTCAGCGGGCGGACACCTCCCGTGCGGAAGCGGTGCTCTCCCGGCGCCGAGGGGTGACCCGTCTCTTCTTCCTCAGCCGCTCGGCGCGGGCATCGTCCGGCCGGCCGGCTCGGGTTTAAAGAGGGGTCGAAGGGGAGGGAGAGAGGCGGGCAGCGATCCGTCGCCGCCGCGCTTCAAATCGCGGCCGGAGCGCCGGCTCCCCGGCTGCGGCTGGCAACGCGGGAGAGCGCGGCTCCGTCTCTCCCTCGGCGGACTCGGCCCGAGTCGCTCAGACGCTCAGTCGCTCGCGGCCGCCGACATCCCGGCTTCCGAACCGTCTCGGCTCCTCCCCGCCGGCCCGGCCATCCGCTCGCCCGGTCCCGCCGGCTGCGCTCCCCTCGGGCGGCGCGGCCCCGGCGGTCCGGAGCCCTGCCCGAGCGGCGGCCCGACGCGCTGTGGCAGCGGGCGCCCGGGCAGGGCGGGAGGCGCCGAGGGACCGCGGGGCCTACGGACGCGCCGCCCGGCGGCGGGCAGGCGGCTCCCGCTAGGCGACACGGGTCCTGGGCCCCGGCATCCCTCCTCCACCCCCTTCCGCCGGCGTTCGTTCGCCTTCCTTCGTCAGCGCCGCTTCGGTTTGTCGCGCGCCGCTTTCTTAGCGCACGGGCGCGTGAAGCATCTGCAGGATGAAGGCAGGGCTACGTACGGCTGGAAGGATGCTCGGGAGCGGGGCGGGGAGCTCGCGGGGAATGGAACCAAAACAAACCAGGGGCGAAAAAAAACACCGCCGCACACCTCAGGCGGGGAGGGGAAGGCAGCCCCTAACAGTTGTCAACAGCTCTGGGTCTGCGCCGTTTCTCTGCCATATGGCCTGATCTCCGACGGAGGAGCCGAGGGTTTTAGCTCAGCAGCTTCACGTGAGACGTATCCTCGGCATCAGCAGAGATGTATTCAGACATCTTTTTTTTTTTTTTTTTTCCTCTTTAAATTTCCTCTCCCTTTCTCTCTAATGGGAATAACTCACCCATCTTGCAGAGATCAAAAGCAACAGAAGGCGCGCTGGAGTCCACGAGCTTTAGAAATCTCATTTCACCGTTTTTTAACCTAAATAAGAGTGGATCCAATCTTCCGTACACCTGGGAATCTTTCCTTGTTCAAACACCGAGCCCTGCAGCCTTGGCTAAAGCCTACAGACAGAGAATACAGAGCGCCGAGCCAAAAGCCAGTGATGTCACCCATGCAACGTGAGACTCATTTCTTATTTCTCTGGCCTCCTTAAAGATAAACTGCACCGCTTTGCAGACAGGAAATGTTGAAGCCTTACTTTCTTACAAGGGGAGAATGTAAAACCTGGATTCAAGTGGATCCTGCTCGTTCTCAGTTACGAGACCTTGTGCTGTGTCACCCAAACCCAAGACAACCGTGGCTGTTTCTGACCCCACCTCCTCTGTAACTCAAAGCACGAGCACACCTTGGATTTGAGACCTGGATTCTACATGATCCAGAAAACCGAGGCCTCCAGACCCTGGGTGATGCTGTACAAAAAGGAAATAAGCACAATCCTTTCCCTTGCATCCCAAGCTCTGTGTCCTGGCACACCCTGCTCTGTAAGCACCAGCGCATCCTTGGGCTGGAAGCAGGGTCCCACTGCACCCAGTGTTTGGCTCCCACAGGCTCCACAGCACATAACACAGCAAACAACGCAGTCGCTCCTACTGCACCAAGAAGCCCACAGCCCCGTGTCTCCCCAGGACTGAGTGTTGCAAAAGCCTACGTCAAAATAAAAAGGCAGCGTATCTCCTTGCACCTCAGCTGCAAAGTGGGATTTCCAGCCATGTAAAGACACGTCTCCCACTAAACCGTGTTTCTTTTCAAGTGCACCATGTTGTCAAAGCCCCAAACGAGATTGAGAAGCTCACACTGGGAAGTGCAAGCCAGAGACGCAGTGATGAGTGCATCTGCTAAAACAGCTCAATTGCAAAATTTCAGCGTTGTGTTATGAATATTAACAGTGCCTGGAAAGCTCCAGATAAAGTTGATTGTTTTATTGAAACAAGGCACCAGTTTACCTATGTTTAGCAGTAACTTCGCTTTGTGGTTCATAATAAAGGTATATTTCTAGGGGTCTAAGCCTTAAAAAAATAAAATAAAACAGCTCAGCTTAGGTGGATCAACTTCTGTAACAGGATTTTTCAAGCAATTAAGTTTTATAACAAGCTTGGAGCAGCCATACTTGTCTTCTGTTGGGGGGAAAAATCTAGAGCTATGTGGTCAAAAAGCTGCAGGATCCTATAAGCAGATGGACAACAGGTTTCTTCTGTGGCACCCATACAGAGATGAGTGTGCCTGCATTTCTTTGTCAGTTCTCAGCATCAGGACCCAAGCTGGTGGATGAGAGCAGAGAATAAGCCTGATTTTACCAAACGTTCTCAGCTGATGGAATGGTTGGATTTGAGATTGAAGAAGCCATCATCCACTAAGAAGCAGGAACCAGGTGCTGGTTTAATGGTTTCATGGATCTAATGCTGCATTGTGAGGCAGGATTTAGAGTAGGTGCAGCAGGGTTTATTCTCTGTTTAGACTACAGAACTGGAAGACTGGGGGTAAGGGCATGCACTTCCAGGTTTTCTCTTTTTCTCTGAAAAGGTATTTCAGTGGCAGTCTCCATGCATTTTTGTTTTTCTGCCTGTATCTGTAGCTTGATCAGATGGCAAGCTACATCCTCCTGCGAGTCACCTTAAATACACTAATGTAGGAGAAAGTGTTGGATTTCAGGCGAGCTCCACTTTAACTCTTAGGATCAAACACTTTTCTCCCTCACCATCACGATGTCCTTCCTTTCAGGAGGGGCAGAGCACGGCTCGATGCAGCATCACCAGCCCTTCCTCTGCCTCTCCTCGGGATTATTCCCGGCAGCCCCTTCCCAGTGCAAACAGATCGTTACGAGATTCGCTTCCTCCCACCCCACACCCACCTCGCCGCGGGGGGGAAAAAACAATCCTTGTCGACCTGCAGATGAATGTAAGCGGGGAGGAAGACGTTGAAATAAAAAAAGTCCACACACACGTTGCAGCCTCGCCCTGCAGTGAATTAAGGATGCCTTGGCAACGGGAGTTAATTCATCGATCTTACACGAATCGGGCTGTGAATGCGCAGTTTTAGCTTTCTGCGGGTTGCGATTTCGGAGATAAAGAGGGGAAGGCAGCGCACGTGGGTGCACGGAAAAATGCCTGCAGGCACGGGACAGAGGAGCGGAGCCCGTGTTGCTGGGGGTCAGCTGCTGGTGAGGAGCTCTGCTGCCTGTTAGTGCCCAGCGCTGCCGTTATGCTGCACAGTAGGCCAGCCTCTCGCCCGCTGCCTCCCAGCACTGCTAGCGCTGCCCCCGGCTTCCCTCGCCCCTCACTCCCAAACCTCCTCCGCAAACAGGAGGGCAGGTATGGAGGTGCACGTAAGTGCTGGGCAGAATTCATGAGAACCAATCGCAATTTGCTTTCCTTCGGGTTATTATTATTTTTATTATTATTCATCAAAATGACCTCCACCATATTTTTCTTCTCCCTCTTCTTTTTTTTCTTCTATTAAAGAAAAAGGGTTCAGTGCCATCTAGTGGGGGAGGGGACTGAGCAAGCCACCACAATCCTCGTTGCTTGGGATCAGCGCCATCGATTGGATTTATTCAGCAGGGAGAGATGATCCACGGCATTCCCCTTCTCTGTGTGCTCTTCATTTCCCAAGAGGTGACGTGACATTTACACGGGCTCCATCCTTCCCTCTGCCGGAGCCCAAGGAGCTCCCGCTACTATTGTGTTACCTGGAGCTGCGCTGACCCTGGAGGCACTTGGCTGCTCTAATTACAGGATGTAAAATGCAAGACAGCAATCAAACCAAACACAGATAGGGCAAATTATATCTACTAATGTTTTTTATCATCCAAATGCACCTTGGATACCGGTGTGAGTGAATCCCCATTATGCCAGCCATACCAACACAGACGCACACGATGCTGCCTCTCACACAGAAGCTTCCCATAGCAACTCCCACAAACAGCTGAACCATCAGTCCAACAGACTGCAGAGTGTTGAGGGGGTTGAGAACCAAGCAGAAGCTCTGTAAGGGTAGATGTGAACCTCAAAACCCCACAGAAGTTTGTCAACTGCCCTCTCCCCTGACAACTCCCACAGGTTTCTGCTTTGCTGCATCTCTACAAAAAGCATTTGAATTGCAAAGCTAAGCAAGTTAGTGAACACTAGATCTAAGCCCACCCATGCAACATTAATTCACCTCTCACACATGCACGTTATGCTACAATCTCTCATTGCATTCTTCTTCTTCTTTTTTTTTTTTTTTTTGTAAGGTTCTCCTTTCTTTTTCAGTGCAAAGGACGGATGTTGCTCACTTAATGAATGCTATTCAAATGTTCTCCTATCCTTATCACCCCGACGTGAGGCGCATGTACCATTTACCACAGAGCATCCAGACCTTGCACTGAATACAGAATGATTAATCTCCTCATGGGCTTTTCTATAACGGTGTTCTCATTCTAATGTTTGCAGGGTTGTTTTTTTTTTTACAAACATCAATGAAATTATCTTCCCAGTTCCCTGCTGAGAAACGCAGATAAAAGCCAATATTTCCAAACATGTCAGGGTATTTGGGGTGCTC